CGGATTTAATGTTAGACGATGCCATCGTTGGTCGAGGGTCCACTGTATTAACGTTTTATATGATATTTAATGTTCCTTAGTGATTATTATTGTGTTATTATTATCATAATATCGCATCTTCAAGACTTATAAGACACTTTTAGTGATTTTTAATGTGTACATGCATGCCAGCACAATGTATAAGTTTACTTAGGTAAAGGTACACAACAAGTATCAGTTATAATAATAATGTAGGTATGTAATCCACCTGGGGTACATACCTACACCTACCTACATAGCTACACGATATTTAATGTGGCCCAGAGACATATTATTACCATCGACATACCATGTTCACTGAGTTTAATCATTTATAACAACTGCCTTTAGATGCCATCATATAGAAAGGGAGAAGTAATGAATAATTCATGTCGAGAATTGTAAACAAAAGCGTTATGTATTAAGGCGAGTGACATAATGTTTTCCCTCTGCCCAGCTACCACACCTCCATAGTATATGAACATAAAATGTTTATATGCTATGTAACATATTTCTTATATAATTTTGAAAAAAATATAAATGATGGATTAATGAAAATGTCTATATTACTGTAAAATAAGACATTTAATGTGCCCTAGAGTATTAGTATTACATAATGTTTTCCCTCCACCTGGCAACCACTCCTCCATAGCATATAAACAAAATGTTTATATGCTATGTAATGTGTTTCTTATATAATTTTGAAGAAAATATCATAGATTAATGAAAATGTCTATATTGATGTAAAATTAGACATTTAATGTGCCCAAGAGTGATTATTATTACATAATAGAGAGATGTGCTCATGGAGAATGTAAACAAACCTGGTGGCCTGCACCATATTTGAAAGACCACTTGCTGTATAGAAAGTTTTGGTCATAATTTGAGATCGCTATATTAGCGGAACGCCATAAGGCGAAACGCCGAAAAGTGGGGCCCTAATGTATACACAAATACAGTTATATAGATTATCATACATAGCAGCATATTTGTAGAGAACCTAGGATAACCCAAAAAAGTCAGAGTGGCTTATTTCCACTGGGGTCCTTTTGTTATCTTACCATTAATATTACATTAATATAAAAGATCAAATGTGGCAGGTAAGAAATTATATAAAAATGACACATAAAACAAATTACAGTGGACCCTCCCTTTTCATCTTTAATTCGTTCCAGAGAGCCTGACAGAATGTGAAATTGACTAAAATTGAAACCATTTCCCCATGAGATATAATGTAAATGCTATTAATCTGTTTCAGACATCCAGAAGTATATATAAAAAAAAAATACATTTTATAGAACTATATTCCATGGCTTATTTATCTATCACAATTCATCTAATATGACATAATAAATGATATTAATAACATAGAAACATGATACATACTCTAGAATGAATAAAATATGTCATTTTGTATGTGAGGAGTAAGTGGTGGTGGTGGTGGTGTTGTCCGGTTTACAAGGTCCACTGAGAGAAGCTGTACATATTAGTGGTAGTGGAGATCACAGGAGAAGCCACCATCACTTTTCACACAAACAATGTACGTAATTTATAAATAAGAAATATTTATACTTTATAAATAAGAAATATTTACACTTACTGTACCTTGGAGATGCTGGCATTGGTTTAGGGTGGTGGAAGATAGGCAGGGCAGTGTATGTTTGTCAGTGGCTCTATATACCTCCAATATCATTGGAGGAGTCAGTTTCGTGTCGTCCTTTTTTTTATTGCTTCACTTACTTGCTACACTGTTAACCCTTTCAGGGTTTCCGACATACTAGTACGGCTTATGCACCAGGGTTATTGACGTACTAGTATGTGTAAATTCTAGCGGCTTTAAATCTAGCGAGAGAAAGCTGGTAGGCCTCTCTATGAAAGAATGGGTCTATGTGGTGAGTGTTCTCAGTATTAAAAAAATCCTGCAGCACACAGTGCGTAATGAGGAAAAAAAAACTTTGACCGTGTTTTTGGTTTAAAACAGCGACTTTGCACTGTATTTTTGTATGGTATTTATGGTTGTATTCTAGTTTCCTGGTCTCATTTTATAGAATGGAAGACATATTACAGAAATTGAGATGATTTTGATTGGTTTCACAATGAAAAGTAACAGAAATGTTTGATTTTTGCCAAAGTTCAAAAGTAAACAATCATGCCACGCGTCCAATATGCGTCAACTGGCGAGTTTAATATTCTTTCACAAGTGCGCTGATATTATTTATACCATTTCTACACTAATGCAGTAGTCTGCATAACAGTAAATCTTAATTTTTATTCTCATAAAAAATAGAAAAGTGGAAAGCAAAAGAAGTGTAAGAGGGGCCTGGGGACGTGACTAATGAACAGAGGAAATGTTATTTTATTGCCAGGAATGTCTGTCTTGTCTATTCTGGACCCTATTTTGAAATTGGCATCTTTTGAAATTTGTGTGAAACTGGCAACATTGCTAGTTTCTGACCACTTTATTGGATAGTTGAAATCAGTAAATGGGTAGTTTCTTGTACTCATTCGATAGAAAAAATGGAGTTCTAGTGAAATAGTTATGATTTTTGTCGACTAGTACACTGGAATTGGCCGAAAATAGGGCTCAAAGTGGGCGAAATCGCCGATGCATAAACATTGTCGAGACTGCTAACTTCATGAGAGCATAATTCCAAAAGTTTTCCATCAAATTTCATACCTTTGGTGTCATTATGATTGGGAAGTGATTCTCTATTCATAAGAAAAAATAATTTTTTTTTTTCCAAAAATTTTCAAACCTGAGAACAAGTTTAGGAGAGGGCCTCTTCGACCCTGAAAGGGTTAATGCTACACTTTATCGCTGGCTGGCACTACAGCCTTTATCAACTGATGCTGCTTTAGTATCATACATATTGTAGAATCACTGAAGAAAGCACATTCTCCCCTCTCTTCCTCCTCCACTTTGGTACTTTGCTACAAGTTTTTTCTTGAATTCTATCATGTTTCTCACCTTCTTTTTCAATGAGCTGGCACTAGCAGCTTTCTTTGAGCCCATTTTGGCTTGTTTAGTGGTCACTCACAATGAACAAGTGCAAAAAAACAATGAATTATTACGAAATGTTTCCTATGGCCTCGCAGGATAATGTTCTCTCACCGAGAAACAAAGCGGCACTGCCTCCTCAGAATGCATGTGTGGCAGGTTGTGTGTGTGGCACACTCGGACATGTACCATACCACCGACGAGAACGGAGGAAAGCAACAAAAATGGAGGCAATAATTTTACGGAAAAAATCGGCGATTACGGAAATGAGTGAAAACAGAGCCCACTAAAAGGGAGGGCTCACTGTACATAAAATATTGAATAAAAGATGATAGAGGTGGGGAAGTTGAATGGTGGAGGTGCAGGCAATTTGGTGGGGGAAGTCTAGGGTGTGGGGTTATGGAGGCATGGGAGGGTACACTACACGTAGGACAAGCCCAGGAAGTGGGGTAAGGGCACATCCCTACACACAGATTGTGCACTGATGTTCACACTGTCTTGCTTACAATAAACACAATATTTATTTGTTTCCCATGCGCATCATGAAAGATGTGGGTATGTGACTCCTTAAAACCAGTATGTTCCCATCATCTTCACTTACACACCCTGCCTCTTTCCCCTTCCCTGTGAGTAGAGGAAGAGGCACTGACTAGTTCCGTTCCTCATTACTCTCAACACCACATTGCTTCCCACACCATATGCCTCTAATTATTCCATGCATCAACACATATTCATTTTTAAGTTGACTGTAAGCATGGTGCCTGTGCTGCAGGCAGATGTGTTTATGGAGGCCTTTCGAGTTTTGTATATTTGTAGCTGGCACCCAGGCACAGTGGGTCCAGGGCAGTCTCCACTACCACCTCTCATCAACCTTCACAGACTGCACAACACTTCCATTATTTACGTTGAAACGATGTAGGAGTTAACCTTGAAAATCCCACAGCTAACCTGCCACATGCCCGGCCATGCTGGCCATCCTTTATTGTCATGTCTCGCTCGTTTAGTGCAAGTGGTTACCTCGCCCAACAATAAGCTCGCCTCCCCTCCCTCTGCCATATACCAGCAAGAATCTTCAATAAAGGTAAGTGTGATGTTAAATGTTTATTTATACACTTTATTAGTGCTTTACATTTATTTGTCATTCTTTTCTGCATGTAAATCTATATTTAAGCTAGGGAAGTGACCCTTGATAAGCACTTGGTACCTAGAGTCCTTATGGAATGGGATTCTCCTTCCAAACAATAACCTCTCTTCCCTCTCCCCTCCTTGTCTTCCATCCATCAACAACAGCCTTCAATAAAGGTAACTGTCATGTTGAATGTTCATTCTTTTGTGCATGTAAATCTATCTTTAAGGTAAAAAATTTTTTTTTTTGTTGATACTTCTTGGTGTCTGGAATGGATTGATTGTATTTACATTATTTCTTATGGGGAAAATGGTTTCGCAAATCGTCAATTTTGATAATAGTCACACTCTCTGGGACGGATTAATTACGAAAAATGAGGGACCACTGTATATCTATGGAAATTTCTAATAAGGTGGGTATCCTTTCAAAAAGTCATTACTCTGTACCTCAACAACATTATTCACTCAGTACTCCTCTGTAATCCATCATTACCTCACTTATTGCTTATGTACATTGGATTTATAACACTTTAATTTTTTTTTTTAACACACTGGTCATCTCCCACTGAGGCAGTGTAACCCAAAAGAAAGAAACACTTTCACCATTATTCACACTATCACTGTCTTTGCAGTGAGTAGAGTTTACATCCCACTGTTTTATAGTTTATCTTCTTCCACTTACCAACCCTGTCTCCCTGTTCTTGTTTTATCTCTGGTAAAGAGCTTATCATATTAAAAGCAGGTAAGTATTCTCATTTGTAACTAACATTAACAAGCTAACACTTTTTTGTAACCAGTAATATTTACCCTTTTTAACTTCCAATAATTGTTTTACCACTTCACTTTATCCTCCCAACAGATTCCCTACTGCTCAGTTGCTTTTGCTGCTCAAGACACCAAGGGCCGCTGGTCATTGCAGAAGCCGCCATTCTTACCTGCAACCCACTCTGCTAATAATCAGTTTGACTGGAATGTCCTCAGTTCATAACTCAGATGTAACCAGAATTAAAAGCTATTCTTGTTTTCAGTTGACTAGCAAAACTGAAATTTAGCATAGATTTAATGTTTGTGCAAAAGCATTAATAAATAATAATAACAAAGAGAATAATAATAATAATCCTTTTTCCTATAAGTACATTGTAACCTTTACAAAGAGACAAATCTTTATGATACAACTGATACAGCCCAAACTGACATCATTGGCATACTACATATAAAACCCCTGGTTATGCAGAGCATTTTGGGCAACTTAGGTTAATCATGACCCCCATGATGTGACCCACAACAGTTTGTTAACACCCAGGCACCTACTTACTGCTAGTGAACAAAGACAGCATTTGTAAGGAAATGTACCCAACATTTCACCCATGCTGGGAATCAATCATGGGCCCTCAGTGTGTGAGATGAAGACACTACCAACCAAGCCATGATGTATGTAGTCTTCATATAATAAGTATGGCAAATATTCAGTGTATCAAGGACCTAATTTTGAAACTTATGATTTGTTCTAAAGTTTGTCTAGAAAGTTAAACTGGACAACATTATGGTCTGTCATGAACCATTGCTGATCTGGCACAGACCAAACTATTATATCAGTTTTAAAGAATTAATTCACAAAATCTTAATGTAGGATACCATATTACCTACCATGAATATGTTACTCCCTCCAGTAATCTGTCTACAGTTAAAGCTACTCAAATTTATAATTATGGTTACCAATGGGAGGTTAAATCACTAGATGTAAACCAAACAAAATGTGAACTTTGCCAGATGGAGAGTTGTCACACCTTGTGTTGTCATGTACTGGAATGCTGTAAAATTAGTTAGGTAAGAGATAACTTGCTCAGAAATGTTCAAGAAATGTCAAAGTATTTTATCCAGCCATTCTGGAAAAATACCCTGACTTTGCCCACTGTAAAATGATGCATTACCACTTAATTTTTTGTGTGTACAGTGGAACCCCAGTTTTCAAACTTAATCCGTTCCAGAAGGTCATTCTAAAACTGAAACGTGCGAAAACTGAATCAGTATTTCCCATAAGAAATAATGTAAATACAATTAATCCTTTCCAGACTCCCAAAAATATTCACAAAAAATTCATTTTTTAAAGAATATGACACTAACGTCAACTCTATGGATTATTTATCTATCACAATTGATCTAATATGACATAATAAATAATATAAATAAGATAGAAACCTGAAATGCACTCTAGAATGAATAAAATATGTCATTATGTATGTGGCTAGTGGTGGCGGAGGCGGCGAGTTTGTTTGGAGGCAGGACAAAGTACTCTTTCAATATGACACTAATATCAACTCTATGGCTTATTTATCTATCATAATTGATTTAATATGACATAAGCAATATTAATATCATAGAAACCTGATATACACTCTAGAATGAATAAAATGTGCCATTACGTATATGGAGTGGTGGTGGTGGTGTTGTTGGGTTTATAAGGGCCACTGATAGCATAAGCCCTACATTTAGTGTTGGTGGTGGCAGTGGTGTTGTCAGTGACCCTGTATACCTCAAACAACAATGGAGGAGTGAGTTTCATGTTGTCATTTTTCTATTGCTTAATTGCTTAACTTACTTGCTACACTGTTAATGCTACACTTTATCACTGGTTGGCACTATAGCCTTTGTTGACTCCTGCTGCTTTAGTATAGTACATATCATAGAATCACTGAAGAAGGCACATTCTCCCCTCTCTCTCAGCCCTTTACCAAAGGGCTGGCTGGCACTAGGAGCTTTCTTTGGGCCCATAGTTGCTTATTTTGCAGTCACAATTAATAAACAAGCACCAAAAACAAGGGATTATTACGAAATGTTTTGGAATGCGCGAAGTAATGCTCACTTGACCAGTGACAGAGGCAGACTGAGATGCATAGTGGTGGTGTCCCCCGGCAGGCGGATGAGTATAATACATCCGATTACTGGATCAAGGTCTGATATCCAGAACAAAATTTCACACAAAAAATGGCCCTGAAACCAAAACATCCGATAACTGGAGCATTTGAAAACCAGAGTTCCACTGTATTTGTGTGTGACTTAATTCTTGTCTGCATAAATAACTTATTACAATTGTAACTAGATAGAAACATGTAAATAGTTCATTACCACTGTAAGTAGTTTAGTTGTCAAAACCCTAGACCCATTATGTACCTCTGTAATCTTTTGACTACAACCCTCAGGATAGGTGTGGGATGCATAATAAATATATTAAACTAAACTAGCATCTTAGTTAAATATTCTATTGCAGGTACACCTATCTTAATTAGAGTTTATATCTAACATGACAGGCAAGGTTCCTAATTCTGTAATAACAATTAAGAAATTATACACAAATAACCCTGCACATAGGAGAGAGAAAGAGCTTATGACGATGTTTCAGACTGTCTTGGATCATTCACTAGTCATACAGACAGAAGAGAGCTATTGTCATGTTAAATCCATGTTATCCTGGGTTCTTGTTGTCTTAACACTTTCTAGAGTTGTCATGACACCCTCTGAAAGATTGTTATGGTGTGCGATGTTAGTGTGGAGATTTTAAAGGATGCTTTATGAATTTGAAGCATAAGTGAAACAGGTCAGTATCAGAATTATATTTTCCATACATTTAAACTGACATATTGACCAACACTTCTTACTGAGTACAGTACTGTATTCTCATTAATCTGCCCTGTCTTTAAATAAGGTAAACCTACATGGGAGTTGCAACAGCAGGTCTAATGCCACTCATAACCCAACAAGAATTTCATATTAGAACTGTCAGTCAATCTGATTGCAGAGAACACACCTCCTCTGTTCACATAATTGAATCTACTTTGCAAAGTATCCACACATACTGCTGCTCATATACAGAACACTCAACACAAACATTAATTCTGAGCTAAACATTGACCTTGTGAACTATCTTCAGTTAGTTTACAGGCAGCACTGTGTTAACAATGGGTTTAATGCTATGACAGCTATAAGTAATCTGAAGTAACTATTAGGGTACCTTCTTTCACTTTATCCATGGAACAGGAGCTACAGTACCTCCCAATTCCTTGGATAAAACATGATTCCATGCCATTTTGCTAGTGCTTTATGACCCCCACAGATCATGATGTTAACAGATCAAACTTAACTACCTTCTAGTATTTTTGTTTCTTTGATTTCATTTTTTTGTCACTGTATTGAATTGAGTCAAATTGATATTCAAATATATATTTCCTAATTAAAGATTAAATGAGTTTTAGATTTTCTCACAGCGTTTTTGTATAGATTAACAAATATGCAAGTCAAAATACACGTATACACTTAAGTTCAAATAAATATATGTGGTCTTTGTGTATATACACATTAACAAATGTAAATGAAGGAATCAGTCAAGCAGTTAACAAACTGAAACTGCTGGAGATCAGCTACAATGTTCTCTAGATTGGAGAAAAATACATGAAAATTATTTTTAATTTTATTAACACATCGGCCAAGGCAGGGTGGCCCGACGAAGGAAAACTTTCATCATTCACTCCATCACTGTCTTGCCAGAGGTGCGCTTACACTACAGTTATAAAACTGGAACATTAACACCCGTCCTTCAGAATGAAAATTATAAAGGGTCATATTGCTATTCTGTACACAGCTATAACCACCTGTACGAGTTTAGCACTTAGTTTTGATATTAATAATAATATAACCACACATAACAATTCCAGTATTTGGATAAAGGTAGGGAAGCTTTTATAGCATTTATGGATTTTGAAAAGGCATATGATAAAGTGGATAGGGGAGAAATGTGGCAGATGTTGCAAGTGTGTGGAACAAGTTATAAGTTACCAAATGCTGTAAAGAGTTTTTATGAGGATAGTGAAGCTCAGGTTAGGGTGTGTAGGAGAGAGGGAGACTACTTCCCAGTAAAAATAGGTCTTAGACAGGGATGTGTAATGTCACCATGGTTATTTAACATATTTATAGATGGGGTTGTAAAAGGAGTAAATGCTAGGGTGTTTGGGAAAGGGGTGATTAAATTATGAGGAATCAAATTCAAAATGGGAGTTGACAGTTACTTTATGCTGGTGATACTGTGCTTCTGGTGGATTCTAAAGAAAATTTGCAAAGGTTAGTGGATGAGTTTGGGTGTGTAAAGGTAGAAAGTTGACAGTGAACATAGATAAGAGTAAGGTGACTGGGGTATCAAATGATTTAGATTAAGAAAAAATGGATATCACATTGGAGGGAGGGAGTATGGAAGAAGTAAATGTTTTCAGGTATTTGGAAGTTTGCTTGTAAGCAGATGGGCTTATGAAGGATGAGGTTAACCATAGAATTGATGAAGAAAAAAAGGCGAGTGGTGGGCTGAAATATCTGTGGAGACAAAAAAACGTTATCCATGGAGGCAAAGAAGGGAATGTATGAGTGTATAGTGGTACCAACACAATTATATGGGTGTGAAGCATGAGTTTTGGAACAAACCTCTCCTCTGCTTCCTTGCATTTTATCACATATACCATCATTTCTTTTACTGATTTTCCTGCCAATTTTCTTTCCCACTGAATGTCGTGCAGGAAGTTCCTGGAGCCAAATGGGGCTCCAGGTTTTCCCAGTCAGTCTCCTTGTGATTGAAATCACTAATAACTAGTAACTTTGCTACCCCATGTGAGCTCTTCTGGGCACCTCGGCTAGTATGCCAACCATTGCTCTCCTCATGTTCTTCTCTTCGCCTTCTGCAGTTCTGTGGTGGGTTGTACATTACTGCAATTACCACCTTATGGCCCTCAGACTGGATTGTTCCTACTAAGTAGTCCTTTTCACACATTCCTTCCATTTCCTCAAGTCCCCACCAGTTTTTAATGAGCATTGCAACTCCTCCTCCCCCTCTGCTCCCTCTATCTTTCCTGAGGATTTGATATCCGGGTGGAAAGATTGCATCTTTTATCATCCTGGTCAGTTTCATTTCTGTGAGTGGTATTATATCTGAGGATGTCTCCTTGATTCTTTCATGCCACTCCTTGCATTTATTAGTTATTCCATCTGCGTTTGTTTACAAAACCTTTAACTTTTCCAAAACTGTGGTCTGGGAGGTACTTTGGGGGTGGGGAAGTGGGAGACCTGATGAACTATGGGTGATTGCTGTGAGGGTGGAATTTCTAATGAGGTGGGTGGGGGCACTGGGTACAGCATGTATGTTTTGGGTTAGAATGTTTGGTTGCATTGGGGTTGTCCTCGTTGGGAGCCTTCTGTAGGTGGTTGACAGGGAGGTTGTGTTTGATCTTCCTCCTGAGTCTGGGTTCTCCTTTCCATCTTCATCTTCACCTCTCTCTCCTCCTTTCGACTTTGTACCCTCACTTTCAGTTTCTGCCTTTCTTCTCGTGTTCTATCAAGTCGAGATACACCTTCTGGTGCATGGGCATGTCCCTTAGTCTTGCTTTTTCCTGCAGGATCCTGTTTCGAGTCGATTCTGCCATGAAAATCACTTTGACTGGCCAGATTCTTCTTCTTGCAAACCCCCTATTCTCCAAAAATTTGCCAGCTGGGTCATGTCATCTATTGCTTTCATGATGCTTTCAATCACTTTTTTCTCCCCTTTGTGTGTGTGTGTGTGTGTGTGTGTGTGTGTGTGTGTGTACTCACCTATTTGTGCTCACCTATTTGTGGTTGCAGGGGTCGAGTCATAGCTCCTGGCCCTGCCTCTTCTCTGATTGCTACTAGGTCCTCTCTCTCCCTGCCCCATGAGCTCTATCATACCTCGCCTTAAAACTATGTATGGTTCCCGCCTCCACTACGTCACTTTCTAGGCTATTCCACGGCCTGACTACTCTATGACTGAAGAAATACTTCCTAACATCCCTTTGATTCATCTGAGTCTTCAACTTCCAATTGTGACCTCTTGTGTCTGTGTCCCTTCTCTGGAACATCCCGTCTTTGTCCACCTTGTCTATTCCGCGCAGTATTTTATATGTCGTTATCATGTCTCCCCTGACCCTCCTGTCCTCCAGTGGTATCCAGGTAGTGGTATACAGGTAGTGGTATCCAGGCAGTGGTATCCAGGTAGTGGTATCCAGGTAGTGGTATTAGAGGTAGAGTGGTATCCAGGTAGTGGTATCCAGGTAGTGGTATCCAGTTAGTGGTATCCAGGTAGTGGTATCCAGGCAGTGGTATCCAGGTAGTGGTATCCAGGTAGTGGTATTAGAGGTAGAGTGGTATCCAGGTAGTGGTATTAGAGGTAGAGTGGTATCCAGGTAGTGGTATCCAGGTAGTGGTATCCAGGTAGTGGTATTAGATGTAGAGTGGTATCCAGGTAGTGGTATCCAGGTTGTGGTATCCAGGTAGTCGTATCCAGGTAGTGGTATCCAGGCAGTGGTATCCAGGTAGTGGTATCCAGGTAGTGGAATCCAGGCAGTGGTATCCAGGTAGTGGTATCCAGGCAGTGGTATCCAGGTAGTGGTATCCAGGCAGTGGTATCCAGGCAGTGGTATCCAGGTAGTGGTTTCCAGGTAGTGGTATCCAGGTGGTGGTATCCAGGTAATGGTATCCAGGCAGTGGTATCCAGGCAGTGGTATCCAGGTAGTGGTATCCAGGTAGTGGTATCCAGGTAGTGGTATCCAGGCAGTGGTATCCAGGCAGTGGTATCCAGGTAGTTGTATCCAGGTAGTGGTATCCAGGTAGTGGTATTAGACGTAGAGTGGTATCCAGGTAGTGGTATCCAGGTAGTGGTATTAGAGGTAGAGTGGTATCCAGGTAGTGGTACCCAGGTAGTGTTATCCAGGTAGTGATATCCAGGTAGTGGTATCCAGGCAGTGATATCCAGGGAGTGGTATCCAGGCAGTGGTATCCAGATAATGGTGTCCAGGTAGTGGTATCCAGGCAGTGGTATCCAGGCAGTTGTATCCAGGCAGTGGTATCCAGGTAGTGGTATCCAGGTAGTGGTATCCAAGCAGTGGTATTCAGGTAGTGGTATCCAGGCAGTGGTTTCCAGGCAGTGGTATCCAGGTAGTGGTATCCAGGTAGTGGTATGCATGTAGTGGTATTAGAGGTAGAGTGGTTTCCTGGTAATGTTATCCAGGTAGTGGTATCCAGGTAGTGGCATCCAGGTAGTGGTATCCAGGCAGTGGTATCCAGGTAGTGGTATCCAGGTAGTGGTGTCCAGGTAGTGGTATCCAGGCAGTGGTATCCAGGTAGTGGTATCCAGGTAGTAGTATTAGAGGTAGAGTGGTATCCAGGTAGTGGTATTAGAGGTAGAGTGGT